AGAAAAGGAAGGAGCCATTGTTACCGCAAACTCTGTGTCTTTGGGGCACAAGCGCATTTGGCCCCCTTTCCAGTATTAGTACCAATGGGAGCAGCAAAAGCAGCAGCGCCTCCTCTGCACAGAGATCTCTGCACAGCTCCCATGTCAGGAGGAGGCCTGCAGGCAGTTTTTGAATGGTTCCCCGTGTCATCAAATTGACCCAAGTTGGAAGGAAAGAAAACAAAAGGGCAGGTGTATTAAGGAGGCAATGTGACCTGCTTTTATTTCCTTCTTGTTAATCTCTTTTTCTTTTTTCTTTTCTCTTCTCTTCTTTTCTTTTTTCTTCCTTCCTTCCTTCTTTAAATTCTTTATTGTTGAAAATATTACATATGTCTCCTGCTTTTGAGAAAGTCCTGGTCAGGGTGTGATGTCTTCTTGGAGAATTAACTTCTTGATTATGGAATACCCCTCTTGATCCTTGATTATCTTTGCTCCAGGTCTTTAAACCAGCACACTATACCCATTTCCTATTAGTTTACTCAATTGCAATTTCCACCTTTCTCTCGACTAGAGTTTCAAGTACGGATTTCAAGTCTTAACATGTGAAACTATTTCACAGACTAATGAGGAAATAAGATAAGAGACATAAGACTAAAATGATCGCCTGTGGATTATAATACTCCAGTTTTTCATCTAAAAAGTTGAATTTAAATGTTCTCTTCTGAGTAATTAATTGGTGATCATAAACTAGAATAAGAATCTGATGACTTATTTCAAACTATCATTGGACTTGACTTCCTTCCATTGCCCCGATCCCTCTCTCTGACTCACACATATTACTGTGTCTTGTTTACCACTCAGGCAATCTTATTTAAATTAAACAGAGTATTAAATGTAGATACACAGTACAGAGTGTAAAGTCTTACACAGTTAATAATAAGCTTTCAGAAACCAGTCAAATTTTCAGTACTGTCAGAAATATAAAAGGACAAATAAAATATCAGTCCCTTTAAAATAAAAAAGGATTTTATATTTTATATTTATGGAGAAATTTCAAAAGAAATATCAGCAACTACTGAATAGGTATGACAGAAATAAAGATATTAAAATTTAGACAAAATATGAAACATATAAAAGTATATGTGCATGTGGGTATATATGAAAGCCTATGCACATGTATAAATACGTGATATGTTTCATATTATACTCCTAACTGGTCTCACAAATATTAATTAGCATCTCCTACTTGACAGGTATTATGCCAGACACTGGAATTACAAAGATGGATAAGACAGTCTCTTTTCTCAAGGAGCTCTTTGTCTGGAGAGGAAATGGATGCTGGACCACATTGTGCTGAAGATGCAACTAGGGGCATGAGGAAATGATTGTTGTAGCAGAGAGGAGGAAGCAATGAATTATTCCTGAGGGCAAGGAAGGCCTCCAAGAGAAACATGGCATTTCAGCTTGGCCATAAAGCTTCCGTGGGATTTTTCTCGGCTAAGAGCGCAATGAAGGGCACTCCAAACAGGAACAAGAGCAGGGAGACTCGACAGCACGCGTTGTTGGGGCAAGGAGGGATGTGAGGGGAATGGGTTTGGAATGGTTCATGGTGCCAGAATAAAGGAATGTGCAAGGTGGATGGTTAAGGAGCCATATTCAAGTTAACACACTGAACTTTAGTATAGGTTATTGGGGGAGCCTTTGAAAAGTTTAAAGAGCAGCTTATTTGGAGCTGGAATAAAATATATTGGGGAGGGAGGTGACTGAAAATGGGAGGCAATTAGGAGTGTTATCAGTAATAAGGCACTGAAGCAGAGGCAGTCCCTGAGCAGGGAGAAGGAAAGGATTCATTTGAGAATCAGCCCTGGCCGGGTGGCTCAGTGGGTTGGAGCATTGTCCCGTACACCAAACAGTTGTGGGTTCGATCCCAGTCAGGGGGCTACTGTTCGATGTTTCTCACATTGATGTTCCCATTCTCTCTCTAAAATCAATACACATATCTCAGGTGAGGATTCAAACACACTTGAGTATCATTTGTGAGGTAAAAAGGATGCATTGGTGACGTATGAGATGTGGGCGTTGAAGAAGGCGCTTCATAAATGCCTAAGGTGGGGAAATGGTTTGATGTGGTCAATGGAATATTTCCTCTCCCCACATACATCACGTTTCCTGCTCGGGTAGCAAAGGAGCATCACTGACCCTCCTTGTCCTTACATCAGTGTTGTTACTGAAGAAACAAAGAAAACGTCACTGCTGCTGGGTGTGACGCCAGGGCAGGGGCATGGCCATGCTCACTTTTCTATCCCCAATATTCAGAATGCAATCAGACACATCCTGGTGTCCAATAAAGACCTGCTGAATGAAAAACAAGCTGACATTGAATTTCAAAGCGGAATTTTGGAGCGCATGGCATAGATCAGGGGTCCTCAAACTACGGCCCGCGGGCCACATGCAAATACAAATATTGTATTTGTTCCCATTTTGTTTTTTTACTTCAAAATAAGATATGTGCAGTGTGCATAGGAATTTGTTCATAGTTTTTTTTTAAACTATAGTCCGGCCCTCCAACGGTCTGAGGGACAGTGAACTGGCTCCCTGTTTAAAAAGTTTGAGGACCCCTGGCATAGATGATAGCTTTGAGGCCAAAAAGGGTTTCTGATTAAATGGCAGCTTAGGTTGCATCATCAAGAGATGCAGTTCAGGCCTAAACAGAAAGCATATAGAATGATCTCTCTGCACACAGCAGATGAAACTCTTACAGGCTGGGGTGGAGAAAGATGACCGGGCTCTGAGCCTGACACCTGCAGGGATTAGCTCCAAGGAGGGTGGTGGACTGATGGAGCTCACTGAAGTGTGGCGGCTGAGAGTGGGGAGAAGTGAGGCTCCCCTTTCCTTCGTCGTTCAGAGGAGTTTCCCACACGGTGATGGCGTGACAGCAGAGATGCCCGGATGGCCTGGCCTGGCAGGGGCCTGAGAGAGCTCCCCAAGTGTCCAGCAACCCACTGACACAGGACAGCATCTTACCTGAGACTCAGGAAGGAGAGAGCTTAGGTCATTCCTTCTTACTGCCTATCTGGGAACCAGTGCCTAAGGGAAGAGAGGGGAGAGAGCATACTGAAGGTTTGGGCATCTTCAAGTCTTCGGAGACTATGCAGTGATTAAAAATTCAAAAGCAAAAGATCTATGAGAAGTGTTTGGGGTTATGAGTTTGATTCCTAAGTTCAGACAATTTTTATATTTATTTATAGAGATATTTTATAAATGATTCGTGAAAAATATGTTAACTACACTATGACTGAACAGCAGAAAGTATTTACTCTCTTCACCAGAGAGAAAACATTAACATTTATAAATTTGAATGTATTTACTTAAAAATAATTGGCAGGCACTGGGATTCTGGTTGTTCTATTTTGAAAGGTAACTACATATTCATTTTAATAAGATCTTATATCTTGATGATAGTTGGCAATAAATGCATCCTGAGTTAGCTCCCTGGAGTAATACATCAGAGATAAAATTCATTTGAAACCAAAGATGCTCGTTACATTCAAACACATTTAAGTTCATCGATCTCCATTAATTACTTTACTAAAGACAATATACCATTTTTTAAAATCCTGATTACAACAGTTTTAAAACTCCCTGATTTGCTGATCCTGATACACAATCTGTTACTTGTTCTTCCCTATTCTATTTCTGACCCAGTCTCTAAGGGACTAACATTTTTAAGATCATAAAGCCTTGTGTTTGTGTGCTAATTTTGTTTTCTAACGATTTTCAGAGGTTATTTTATTATAACCCTACTAGTACTGTGAGGCCAATATTTAGATCCTAGTTTTAAACATAAGCTAATAGGCAAACAGAGGTGAGTGCCTTGGGAAGGTCACCAGCATGGCTACCACTAAAAGACAGAATGCTGGCCTTGCAACTCAGGCCAATGTGCTTGGCATTTAAAAGGAGCTACAGATGATGCCTACTTACAATAAAATTAGAAATAAAAGGCAAATACAATTGCCTAACAATTAACCAATAGTCCCTCACTGAGTTTTGGTTATCAGAGGGAGTAAACTTTCCAATATACTAACCTCTGTCTGCTTCTTATCAAAGGCTTTATCCATCACGAAAATGAACCTTTGCAAGACCTTAAGTTTTCCCTTCTTACAGGGCGCTCATACAATGTGGTGAGACGTGACTGCCACCATGTGGCAGAACTAGTATATAGACTTCCATAATTACCATATTCTTTATTCTGAAATGCAATGAAAACAATGATTAAAAGATGAAAATCTGCTTTAAGTTTTATTATTTTAGACCCAGTAATGTGATGTTCATTTTTGGTACAAGTTGTTGGACACTGATACATATTAACTAGCAAAAGCCTTGCTACTCCAAGTACCAGGATGTCCCACGGACCAGCAGAATCTGTATTATCTGGGAGCTTACTAGGGATGCAGAGCCAGACCCCACCCTGCATGCCCTGAATCCGAATCGGCATCCCCGAAGATGCCCAGGGGTTACCTGTACACACCACAGGCCGGTAAGTGTCATCTACAGCTGGCGTCTGCCCCCTTGACTCTCATCTCCTACTGTGTCCCCACCCAATGTAGGGGCAGGTGACTTATTTTTTTTTTTTTTAAATATATCTTCACTGATTTTTTACAGAGAGGAAGGGAGAGAAATAGAGAGTTAGAAACATCGATGAGAGAGAACCATCGATCAGCTGCCTCCTGCACAGCTCCCACTGGGGATGTGCCCGCAACCCAAGTACATGCCCTTGACCGGAATCGAACCCGGGACCCTTCAGTCCGCAGGCCCACGCTCTATCCACTGAGCCAAACCGGTTCTGGCGGGGCAGGTGACTTATTAAAAAGTTCAGATAGTTAAGAAAAATGCAGCTCGTCTTACTTGAATTACTTTATTAACTTGATGTTCCCTTTGCTTAGGTCAAATTAATGGATTAACTCCACAATTCAGAGAAAAAAAATTAAAACAAATTTTCCAGAAAAAAAGGGCTTATTTAGTTTCAGGAGAGATGAGAGTATTTTATTTTGCCCAATCAGAGCCCTTCAGCATAAAGAGACATTCATATACATATATATGAACATTTTCCAGAAACAGTAATTTATAATACATTTTTAAAATACCAGTTTAATGGTATTTATTTACAAAAATATCCCATTACCTAATTTTAAACCTTTTGCTGTGATGACAGTTTGTAAAGTACAGGAATGCAAAATAACTACAAAGTTTACCACACTTTTAGTGTTTGCAATAGTGCTTTTTTTGACTTTTTCAAATGAAATAGTACACAGAGATGGGTTGTTTTTTAATCGTATTTCAAATGCATATTCCAGCAATCACCTCTGAGATAGTTACTGGACTGAGCAAGATATAAAAAAAAGAAAAAGAAAGTGCAGCAACTGAACACTACCTGCATGTACAGTTTACGGTCGACACAAGCTAGAGCTCCACACAAGCATGCTGGCCCCTGAATGAGAGAAAAACTTCATCTTGCTCTTTTTAATAATTTTTGGTGATGCATTCATTTACAATGAACCAACAGTTTAACTAGAAAGCAAAATATTTTTCTGGTTCTAACTACCATGTAAAGCAGAGGTCACACCTAAAGTATCACGGTACTGTTTATTTACAAAAAAAAAGTAATTAAAAAAACACGATTACCCTCTTTGCATTGCTTCCTATTAATATCAGTCTGTTGTCAACTCCTTACATTGTCTTAAGTTGAAGCAAAGTTTAAACAACACAAAATACATAGCAAAAATATTAAAAAAAAAACTCACAATAGGATTCCATTGCCATTAGCCTATATCCATTTTAAATGCCTGAGCAAAATAACCTACAATAAATACTGATTTATTTACATCTCACACTATAAAATTTTAGTTTAAACTATGAGCCTCATTGCGAAATACTGGCAAAACTGATAATCATGATTTTTCTGATGTAAAGAGTGTAATAAAAAGAGCAATTAAATGTAGCCCTAAACTATTGTACTCAATGTGTAAATGAATTGTGCTCAATAATTTAAGACTATTAATAACCAAAGAAAGCAACATGATAACCCTGATAATTGGGGAGTTATTAAAACCCATTTGATTCAGCTGAGAAAGGTAAGCTAAGGTTTCCCCTTTAATTTTTGTTGTTGTCACAACTATTTTTGCCCACAGAACCTTTCAAACTTGTTACAGTCATAAGATCATTAATATTCACAGGAAAAATAATCCCCATGGTACTTTATAAGAAATTGATCAGAGTGATGAAACTGTAATTACAGTATAATTAACAAAAGCTGTAAACAGTATCTTCACATTCATTTTTAAATGAGAAAAAAGGATGGGCATAAATATCAATCCAAGAGACCAGAGACTTTAAAAGGGAAAAGGAAAAAACAGAGGACACTTAAGATAGAGGAGTGCTCTTTTTCAAACTAAATACAGATTAAAAATTCTAGGAATATTGATCAACAAATTCTATAAACTACAAAATAAAAACCTTCATTGACAAAAATACATAAACTCTGTTTTCATTTTTTGGAAATTTATTTTTAAAAAAGGTAGAAGAAAATACCTGGAAAAGTATTTTAAATATATATATATTTTAAAACAATAGTTAAGGTAGGCATCCAACTTAGCAAGCTGCAGCTATTGAGAAAGATCTTGCAAAGATTGTTGTGGGCATTTTCTCCAAAATAAAGTTAATATTTGAAAATGCTCAATAGAGGGTTTTACATAGAAATAATCTCTTTCCTGTCATGTGTGAAGACTTTTGAATGATGTATGATTCTTTAAAATTAATTGTATCTCGATATGAGATACCAGTATTTCTTATTATAAGCGTGAAACATAACTTTTTTGTATGGAAAATATACATACTTTTTAAGTACTTTGACTTAAACTTAACAAGTTCACCATTTTTAAAATTAAAGAGTACATTTATAAAAATTCCATTTTAAAACTAAAAGTATATTCTCTAGCAGTATGTATAAATATAGCATGTTACTGGATGATCTTAAAACAAATCTGAAAGTGTTGCAGTAATTTTAAACCTAGAACACTGAAACGCACAGCAAATAATTTTACTTTTTATTCTTGAAAACTGTATAAAACCTATTAAAGGTTTTAAAACTATGATCAGTTTAATTGTTTAAGATGCAGCTAGCAGCATACTCATGATTTTGATATGTTTTTATACATATGTATCACTTGATTTGAACTGAGAAATGTGGACTAAATGATAAAAAGTTTTCATTACCTAAAAAAGTGCAGAAAAATTCAAGTTTAAAGTTCAGTGCTCTTTATTTTGAAAGAAAAAATAAACAAAATCCCAAAAGTTAAAACGTAAAATAAATCTTTGACACAAAAAAGTTACCTTTGGATATAGCTTTTCTAATGTCACATGAGAAAATGCCTTAAGCAAAATGTATATGGAATATAAAACTCAGGGTGAACTTTAAACTCCGTGGTGTCTTCCACATATTTTTCCTTTCCTCAGCTGTCTTCCCACCGCCCCCTATAACCCAAAAGTATGTAACACTTTCAGACTTGTTTGAAACACTCACATATCTACATGAAATAACTTCAGAGGTACCTACAATTAAGTTCTAAGCAAAAGAAACACTTTTCTTTAAAGTACTGTACTTAATTAAACTGGTAATATACTACACAGAACATAGACAAGTAGCAGCATTTTTTCACATCCATATAAAAATCAAATTAAGTTAGCAATAGTTCGGTTTTATATCTATAACCATTTTTGGAAACACTCTGTACAATTGAAATGCAAACCAAAGAGATTAAGATGATGCAAAACTTTAAATGGCTATAATACACAGAATTTGTCAGAATATAAGATTTCGAATAACTTTCTAAGCAAATGCATTTGGATTTTAGTCTGAAGAGCGAAATGAACTAGATATATGGTACATACAGGGAAACCACTTCCTATTCACAGACTGCTAATCAATGAATACTTCAACGCTTTAGAGCCAAGGACAAATGCAACAAAGAATAATGTTTGAGGATATGAAGGAAGCACACGTAATCTTTCACTTTTCTAACATTTTCTACTTTGACTTTTTTTTTTTTGGTTTGTTTTCCTGAATTCTTGGCTTGCTGGTGACTATTTCTGCATTTAAAAAGAAAAAAATAGAGATGTTATCTCTCAAATTACAATAAATTCCCTGGGTTAGTTATTCCTGCAGACTGTCTCTTATCTACAGACTGAGTCAAGTATAACTTCGAGAAGCTTATTTCCTATTTTCAAAAATACTTCAAGCTTTCTAATCCTAAGTTTCTAGTGTGCTGTGCATAATTTGTAAATTTAAAAATGAAATAAAGTAACCCAAAATATTGGTTTAAAATTTTCTTATAAAATCCATCTCAGATAAACGTATCTACTTCTCTATTTGAAAATAATTACAAGATTGGTTCATTTTATATACAACAGTAAAAATGAAGTGGATATACAATTAACACAATACAGCAAATTAAATAGAGTTAATATGCCCTTCCACATGAATGGGTAATCAACCATTATATTACTTATTTAGTGCTTCTCAACTTCAAAATCTGTAACTATACCTTTAAAAAAGGGCCTAATACTTCCTGTGACATATGGAACAATGGGTTTATTAGATAATGTACAAAAATTAAACAATTTGTAAACGGCTGAATGTTCATCATACAGCTGACATTAACAAAACAGAAATATGTTATCAATAGATACTTTCTACAAATTCAAAAACTTTTGAAAAGTACTGTATCTTTAAAACATTTCTTTTGGTTTGATCAATTATCTCTATCACATATATTTAGTCCCTCTCCAATGATATTTAAAGTAAATTTTAATGTAAACTTTTGTATCCCGTAGTGCACATTATAAAAATGTAAACAAAAGGCATTATTAATGAAAAGAGTAAGAGGAAACGATGCATAACAGACTGCATGAAATTAGGGTGTTCTACATTACCTTTAATGATCACATGGAATAGAAAAACAACCATCATGTTTGCTATCAATTTGTGCTCTGATTATCTCAATGAAAAAAAGAAACTGGTTTTTAAACAAATTTTTATAGAAAAAAATATTTAAGTTTCATTAAGTGTAATGCTTCTATTTTGCTTTTCCTTGATTGCTTTAGTAACAATCAATAATAATCTCAGATGCCGGTGTATGAGCTTACTTACTTCCAAGGTCTACTGAGTTGTCTTCTTTTTGTCTGCAATGCATTTTAGGAACCAATCTTTTACTGTCCACTGATGGTCTCATTGGCATTACATTCCAATACAGATATAATTTAGTTATAAAAAATGCACATATTTTCCTTTCCTTGGGCTTTTTAAAACCTTGAAAGGACATGTACAGATGTATAGTATACGTCTACAGAAAATATTTCGTAGCTCATCAGACTAGACTCTTATATAGATAATTATTGACAACAGATGCTTGTAGTTTTCCATGCGACAGCATGTGCACTAAGATTTAATTGGCTCATCACCTGAGTGTACTGGAACTATTAGCAAATCAGGGGCATTTAAAAAAGGGAGCTGAGCACTTTATTGAAATAATGAAACTTTTTTTAAGCAATTTTAATTAAATAATGCAAAGGTACATTTGGTTAAACATTTTATAAAAATTCAAGCAAAATTAAAAACTTAGCCAATTTCAACGTTTCTACAAATTTAACCAGTAACTCTTTTGGTCAAATCCACCTTTAGCTGAATTAATGAGAATGAGGACAAAGGACACTGAAGTATTCTCCTCACCACAATGGAGGTTTTTCTCACTTTCCACTCTGCGTAGCCACTACATGGAAACTCCCAGGATGATGAGCAGTCAGTCATGCTCTACACTTTTCTTTTCAACGAAAAGTGATGTATCACCTTGTTTTGCTTTTGACAAAATATGGACTAAACACAAGTATACAATGACAAGAATCCAAGAGTGGCCCATACACAAGTCACCATGTGTATGTCTTTATTATTTAAAGCCCGCCATTCAGCTTATCTGCCTAAAGTTATGGTAACACACATTTTGTTTCTTTTTCACTAATGATACCGAGGACCAGTCTGTTTAAGGGAGGGAAAGTCCCAGATAGCTGTTTATAATTCAGTCAGTGAGACCAAACATAACCATTTCTGCTTCAGAGCTTTAACTTATTGCCTCTCCCTCAGAGGTGAAACACTGATGGCAGATGCAACAGCACAAATCTTTTGGCATATGACAGTTTAATACAGGAATGATCCAGGAATAGCCACGGCTCCTCAACATCCCCCTTGGTTTCTTCCTTTGTAATGTGCGACCTGCTTAGTTCCAAAATGGTCATCTCACAGTTGGCACAGACCATACACTCCACACTGAGTATGTGGACACTCCTCAGTAAAGCCACATGACTGAGGTAAAACAGTGCATAATTGTGCTAGGAAAGAACAGTATCCAGTGATGAACATCCTTTAATGTTAACTTTCCTAAAGTAAAATCAATGAAATGAAAAAGGAAAATTCTTTTTCCTTTTGGCTGAAGTTGAACTTAGTTGGATTTCTGGTGGTCAGAACTGGTACCACTTCTTATCTTTGTATTTCAACATCATCTAAAGGGGAGAAAACATAAAAAACATGTTTAAAAAATGCCAGAACAACAATATTTGTAAGTTATAACTGATTACTGTATTTTTCCAAAACTTACCATTCTGAAACATTCTCTAGTGTCACTGTATTATTTACTTCAAATTAACTTATAATGAAAGCAATAAGTAAGAACTGTTTCACTTAAAGAAAAAAGTCCATAACTATTAAGAACCAGACTAGAAGACCTTCACATTTCTTAGACACATGACATAATAAAATTTTGGCTCAGTGCTCTCTTTGGTGACCTAAGATAATACAAATAAGTTAATTTTCAGTTCTCTAATTTTAACTAGAAATAATGCTTAGCCTGGAATGGCCCGGCTGGCGTGGCTCAGTGGTTGAGCGTTGACCTATGAACTAGGAGGTCATGGTTTGATTCCTAATCAGTGCACATGCCCGAGTTGCAGACTCGATCCCCAGTGTGGGGCACACAGGAGGCGGCTGATCAATGATTCTCTCTCAATATTGATATTTCTAGCTTTCTCTCCCTCTCCCTTCCTCTCTGAAATCAATAAGAATATATTAAAAACAAACAAACCTGGGAACAAAAGGTTAGAAATTCTACCATTACTGTCATCTAAAATTTCCTGAGCCAGCACTGCATGACACATTTTCCTTATATGATTTCATCTGGTTCTCAAAATAACTCCATGCATTAAGCATTATTATTCTCCCACTTTATAAATGAAGAAACTGAAGCTTAAAGGGATTACCCAAACAACACAATGGTGAAACTGGGGTTTGAGCCCACATAGTCTGATTCAAGAATCTATGATCTTAGCCACCTCAATGTATTTTCTTCCTTAGACTCTAAAATATGACTCAAGAATATTTGGCAGGCGGAAAAAGCTACCAGCTTGAGCTCTTTGCTAAATATTTAGTGTAGATATATTCTGAAATTGACTGAAATGTTATATGCTTTAGAGATCACAGTCAGGTGCAGGGTTATGTCAACAAAATTCTTGCCCTAGATCAAAGGCTGCTAGACTATCTCTGAGGTGTGTTGGCCTAGTACAAGGACTGACAAAGGACCTCTGATTCTCTTTGAAGCCCTGAACAAACCTTTTCCAGGTCAAGTTACCTCTTTTATATATTCTAGGTGACAGCATTCTTGAGCAAAAAAAAGATGACTTTTGATTGAAAAATTTATAGATCTCTTGCCAGCAGATTGGGTATTCAAACATAAAACCTTAATATGGATTTTTCAGACAACAAACTGAAAATGTCCTCAAGGTATAGGCAAGGAAGTGAATGTGTGAAGTAACCCAGTGTAAAGCATCAAGGAACGGCAGACTTGTGTGTCAAGATGAAAAAAGTGTATTGTACCTAAAGGCCTACATTCAGTTTTTAAAGTGTACTGTGCTGGCCAATAAAGCCTATTTGTAAGAGGACCAGCTAGGAAGCGTACTTTATAGATTCCCTTTCTAAGCTCCACCATGACATCCTAGCTCTTCAAGATGAATTTACTGCAAAAATGCTTCTTACTACTCCTCTGTCTGAATTGGTCTACAGACAGATTTAGTATTGTCTATTGAATAAAAGTGCTCGCCAGTACAAGTCATTTAGATTTACCTAAAGAATTAAGAGAGGAAAATTATTTCCTTCTCTAGGAGAAATTGGTAGTAGAATCTGAGGCATTTAGGAAAGTTAGCTATGTTACTGCATTCTGTAAGAAATAGCTGCAAAGAAAAGGTCTGCAGGTCCCTCAGATTTATAAACTTCAGTAAAAGACCAAAAGCTACTGAGACATATTCTTATAATAGTTCCCTCTAGTGGCAAAAATCAGGGATTTGCCATTGTACAGAGGATACACAAAAATTCATGTGCAGATATAAAATAGCTATAAAAATACAGTAATTTTCATACTTGTTTTACTGAGGTGTCTTGGGTTTTTTTTGTTTAAATATTTGCTAGACATACCTCATGAGCATGTTTAGAAAATGAATCTGCACTGGACAACATAGCTGTGGTTCTTTCTTCCAGGTCACCCAGTTTCTGCCCTCTTTCATCCAGTGCCAACCTGGCTCGTGCTAATTCACCGACGACTCCAGATGCTGCTCCTTTCACACCTTCAATGCCACCAGGACCAGGGATATGTTGTGCAAGACTTCTCGAAGCCTTTCCTGAGGACGATTCTCCAACTGAACAAATTGGTAAATGAAAGAGTAACTCAAAAAATGAAAATTTTACTAATATAAAATCCTAACCCTAGCAGTTTGGCTCAGTGGATAGAGCATCAGCCTGCGGACTGAAGGGTCCTGGGTTCGATTCTAGTCAAGGGCACATGCCCAAGTTGTGGTCAAGGGCACATGCCCAAGGGGGCATGCAGGAGGCAGCCTATCAATAATTCTCTCTCATCATTGATGTTTCTATCTCTCTCTCTCTCTCTCCCTTCCTCTCTGAAATCCATAAAAACATGTTTAAAAATATTTTGAAAAAGTCCTACTACCTGATAGCACTAAAATAATTTTTAGATTGAATGACAATATAATTGCAATATTTATATATTTCACTTCATAGTTAATAGATGTTTTTCTTTTATTATGATGGTTTTAATTTTTAGATATTTTTTGAAACATGCAAAAAACAAATGTACATTTAAATACTGTACTCTATACATACGGGACTGGCAATTTTTTGTTGAAATGAATAATGGGTATGCTGACACCAATTTATATAACAGTAAAAATTACTCTTAAGTGTGAAAAAAAACTGAATATAAATTAATTTAAAGATATCTAAATTCAAATACATGGTTTTATTTATTTATTTATTTTTTTAAAAATATATTTTATTGAATTTTTACAGAGAGGAAGGGAGAGAGATAGAGAGTTAGAAACATCGATGAGAGAGAAACATCGATCAGCTGCCTCCTGCACATCTCCCACTGGGGATGTGCCCACAACCCAGGTACATGCCCTTGACTGGAATCGAACCTGGGACCTTTCAGTCCGCAGGCCGAAGCTCTATCCCAGCTGTGGGCAAACTACGGCCCGAGGACCGGATCCGGCCCGTTTGAAATGAATAAAACTAAAAAAAAAAAGACCGTACCCTTTTATGTAATGATGTTTACTTTGAATTTATATTAGTTCACACAAACACTCCATCCATGCTTTTGTTCCGGCCCTCCGGTCCAGTTTAAGAACCCATTGTGGCCCTCGAGTCAAAAAGTTTGCCCACCTCTGCTCTATCCACTGAGCCAAACCGGTTTCGGCTCAAATACATGGTTTTAAATATACAGATTTAATTTAGTTTATTTACTCCATCCTTTGTCTTAAAATACTATGCATAAGGGCTTAGAAGTAAATAAAAATAAAGAATTTATTCAGTATTCTATTTTAGGCTTCAAAAGTTATAGATATGTTACATCCCTTTCTTCCTCTTCACTTATATTGTCATTTACCAAATAGATCAAATTTTTCCTTCAAAAGATCTCAGGCATTCATTGCTTTGTTTCCCTTCCTTAGCCAGACCCTAACTACCTAGATTATTGAAAGTCTTAAATTCTGTTAAAATCTGCTGTCATAGTCCCTATTCCCTCAGCATACATTTCGTTCTTTAGCAATATAATTCACATCCCATAAAAATCGCCCCTTTTAGTTAATTCAAAAGGCTTTGCAAACATCATCACTATCTATTTCTGAGCATTTTCATCACTACAAAAAAAACAACCATAACAAAACCAAAAAAAAACCCACCCCAACTTTATCAGCAACCAATTTCCATTTTCCTCTCTTCTCAGCCCTTGGTAATCAATTCTCTACATATTTTCATATTCTGAATACTTCATATGAATGGATTCATACAATATGTAGTCTGTTAGATCTGGCTTCTTTCACTAAAAAAAAATGTTGTCAAGGTTCAAACATGCTATGGCATGTATCAGTACTTCATCCTTTTAAATGATTGAATAATATTCTACTGTATGGATTGATGACATTTTGGTTATCTACTCATCAGTTGATGGGCATTTTGAGTAGTTTCAGCTATTCTAAATAATGCTGATATGAACATTCCCACAAGATTTTGTGTGAACATATGTTTTCAATTCTCTTGGGTATATATCTAGGAGCGTAATTTTGGGTCACATGATAACTAACTTTTTGGGGAACTACCAGAATTTTTCAGAGTTTATAGCATTTTACATTTTCATTGGCAATGTATGAGGGTTTCAACTTTTCTGCATTCTTAAGAACATTTATTATTGTATGTCTTTTTGGTTAAAGCTACCCTAGTAAGTATGAAGTGGCAGTTCATTGTGGCTTTGATTTGCATTTCCCTAATGACAAGTGAAGTTCAGCATCTTTTCATGTGTATAATGGCCATCTCTATATTTTCTTTGGAAAAAATATCTATTCAAACCCTTTGTACACTTAAAATGAGCTACATATTTGTCTTTTTATTGTTGAGTTGTAAGAGTTCCTTATATATTCTGTATAGTAGATTCTTATCACATATATAAGATATATGATTTGCAAATATTTTATCACATTCTGTGGGTTGTCTTTTTACTTTCTTGATAGTGTTCTTAGGCTTTTAATTTTGATGAAATCTAATTTATCTATTTTTTCTTCAGTTGCTGTGATTAAGGTGTCGTATCTGAGAAACCATCACCTAATCTAAGAAAAATATTTATACTTATGTTTTCATAAGTATAAATCTTATGAGAGATTTATATTTACATTTTCTTCTAAGAGTTTTATAGTTTTAACTCTTTACATTGAGGTCTTTGATCCATTTTGAGTTAATTTTTGTGTATGATATGAGGTTGGGGTCCACCTTTGTTATTTTATTTTTTATATATATACTAGAGGCCTGGTGCACATAATTCGTGCACGGCTGGGGCCCCTAGGCCTGGCGGGAGATCAGGCTGATCAGGGCCCAAAGGCCCCAGCAGGGTCAGGAGAGGAGGTGATGGTGGCTGGGCCAGGTGCGGAAGGAACAGACACCAGATGCCAACGCTGCCCTCAGCGCCCCACCACTCCACGGTTCCCCGCCTCCCCCCACCCTTCCCTCAGTGCCCTGGGGAGAGGGACCAGGGGAGGTTTCAATCCCCAGTTTGGAACCTGCAGGAAAAAGCCAAT